GCGACTCGACAAGAATCGCGATGGTAGTGTTTCATCCTTCTCGGTCGGAGCCTGCTTCTGGGCCCCCCGGGGCTGATCGGATCGGACGAAACGGAGGGATGGGGAAGGGGGGAGGTACAGTGAAGACCCATGCCAAGAACCACCCTGCTTGCCTCCAGGGTGCCCTGGGTTTCTTGGGTTTCGATGGTTTTGCGATGGAAAGCGTGACGTTCCCACAATAAAAATGTGTGAATGTCCTGGGGTCTCAGGGTTGGGTCTCTTGTGGTTGGTTTGTTGTGGACTGGCCTACACGGTACGACATCTGCTGTGTACAGCTGGTTTCGGTCCAGCCGTCGGGCGTGTTGTCCTCGATACACGGCAGCCCCCTGCGCACGGGGGCGCCATGAAAGCCAGTTGCGTAAGCCGATTCGCTAACATCTCCCTTTTGCCAACCTCCCGTGGCCCCCTGCGTCCGACACGAGCTCTCCGAGGAACTGCGTGTGAAGACCACTCCTCTCCTCCTTCTACCCATCCATCCCCCAATCCTGTTGGTTCGAGGTATTGGACAGTCCTATCGGACAGCGTGCCCGATGACTATCGGGCCGTGAGAGAGAAAAGGGCGCTTTCGCTCTCTCATCTCATCCTCTGCCAACAGATTCGAAGGTAGGTTCGACCCTTCGGTTCGTAACTAACTTCCATTCGCAGGAACAAGGCCGGTCACCAGTTGAAAAAGCAGGTGCCGAGGGGTATTGCACGGTCCCGTTCGCGGCCGTTTTGCGGGGACGCCTGAAGCGGTTTGCCTTTTGTCTGTCCCAACACCCTTCGCTTTCGGAGCAGATTTGGAGGATGTCTCGAGCGAGGCGCTCATTTTCACGTCCCTAAGGCCCTAAGGGGGGCCGCCGAAGGGTATTGCACGGTCCCGTTCGTGGCCGTTTTGTGGGGATATCTCAAACGGTTTGCCCATTTTATGTCCCAACATCCTTCGCTGTCGCAGCAGATTTGGAGGATGTGTCGAGCGAGGCGCCCATTTTCACGTCCCTAAGGGGAGCCGCCGAGGGGTATTGCATGGTCCCGTTCGCGGCCGTTTTGTGGAGATGTCTCAAGCGATTTGCCCATGTTCTGTCCCAACATCCTTGGCTTTCGGAGCAGGTTTGAAGGGTGTCTCGAGCGAGGCGCTCCTTTTCACCCCCCAGGTTGGCCAGATTTTGAGGATTGCTCGGGTGGCCAGACTCGTGGGCACAGATTCTCCTCAGGATGCTTCAGGAGGCTCCAACAGGCTCCAGTAGGCCCCAGGAGACCACATGAGGTCCCAGGCATCAGGAGGCCACAGAAAGACTCAAGAGGCCACAGGATGTTCCAAGAGGCTCTAGGAGGCCCCAGGAAGCTCCGGGAGGCCTCAGGAAGCCACAGGAGGCCCCAGGAGGCCAGAGGAATCGCCAGGAGGCCTCGGAAGGCAGCAGGAGGCCCCGAGAGGCCCCAGGAGCAGGAGGCCTCAGAAGGCAACAGGAGTGGCTCCCATCCCATGTGTTTGACGTATGTTCCTATAGATTGGGCCTCACCTGGAGCACGAATCCTTGATGTTAAACGTATGTTTCTATATATTGTCCTTCTCCTGTGTACTTATGTGCCTATAGGGCCTCTCCTGGGGCACGAATCCTTTGTGTTTTACGCGTGTTCCTATATATTGCCCCCTTCTCCTGCGGCTCCAATCCGCAATGGTTTATGTACGTCTGTTGCTATATATTGGGCTTCTCCTGGGGCACGAATCCCCCCTAAGGGGTCTCAGGAGGCCCCAGGAGGCCCCAAGAGGCTCCTGGAGGCCCCAGGAAGCCCCAGTAGGTTTCAGGAGGCCCCAGGAGGACCCAGGCTCATGCGCAGAGACGCGCTCGTACTATTGAGGCTCATTCACACTCCAATTCATTTTCAGTTAGATTCATGACCAGACCGTCGCAACTGAAGCCCGTTTATATTCGAAAGCTCTTGCGCCTAGACATTCACGGCGGACAGGTCCATGCGAATAGACATAAATTTACTCATATTCAGACCTACTCATACTCAGATCTACTCCTATTCAGACTTACTCATGCTGAGACTCACTCATACCCAGACTAACTCATGCTCAGAATTGCGGGGCGCTGGTTTCAGCACCCCTAATGGGAGCCGCCAGGGGTGATTTCACGGTCCTGTTCGCGGCCATTTTGTGGGGATGTCTCAAGCGGTTTGATTGTTTTCTGTCTCAACATCCTTGGTTACCAGAGTAGATTGTGCGGATGTCTCAGGCGGGGCGCTGGCTTCAGCACCGTTAGGGGGAGCCGCCAAGGGTGTTTTCAAGGCTCCGTTCGTGGCCGTTCTGTGGGGATGTCTCAGAATCATATTCGCATGTTGCGTTGCATGGCTAGACGCGCATTCCCATATCCCATTGACAATTTTCCTTTCTTTTAAAACAAAAGTGCACACATGGGGATCTCCAAGCAGTGAGTAATATTCTGTCCCAACATCCTTCGCTTTCAGAGCAGATGTT